CTTTATAGGCTTTGAACATGTCCAGAGACTCAGATTTTTCATGAATAAGATATAGGTGCCCATAACGTGAGTAATCGTCTATGAATGATATAAAATATTGTTGACCATTCCAGGATTCCGTAGGGAATGGCCCACAAATATCCGTATGTATCAATTCTAAGACATCCGAAGATCTGTTGGCACCTAATCTCTTCACTTTGGTCTGTTTTCCCTTGATACATTCAACACATACGTTGAAGTCCGAAAAATCAAGGGAATCCAAAATGCCATCAGACACAAGACGCTCAACTCTACCTTTTGAGATATGACCTAAGCGCTTATGCCATAATGTCGCCGAATTTTCCTTATTTAATTTACGCTTAGTACCACGTGATTCCACATGCAAGGATTCATTGTAAGAAGCAATTGTATCAAGCAAATATAGGTTGTCATAAATACTCAAGTAACCGGTTCCCACAACATTTGAATTAAAAGATAAACTGAATTGACTGTTTCCAAATGAACAAGAATAACCTGATTTGTCCAATACAGAAACAGAAACCAAATTCCGTCTAAAAGACGGTACTACAAAAGTATCTTTTAAATCCAAATAATAACCAGTTCCTAACAACAACCTAAAGTGCCCAATTGCTTCCACATCTACCGATTGTCCGTCGCCCACAAAGATGTGTCTTTCAACATCACTTGGCTTTCGGTAGCTCAGGCAACCCTGCATAGAAACACTTATGTGAGTAGTAGCACCAGAGTCTAACCACCAAGTGTTTCTAGGTACTGAAGCTAAATTAACCTCAGAACAGACCAAAGCAAGGAACGTACCCTTATTATCACGCCAGGCGTGATATTTTGTACAGTCCTTCTTTACATGTCCAGGCTTCTTACAGAAGAAACAACCCTGATTATCCTTATGTTGTTTCTTCTCAACTGGACCCTTAGCAGCTTCCTTATCATTCTTCCTTTTCTTGCCCTTATCCTTAGAGGCATAGGCCAAATGAGCACTTTCTGTCTTATCTTGCTTCAACCTGTCTTCTTCTTGCACACAGTATGAAATGAGCTCATTTAGAGTCCATTTCTCCTTTTGACAGTTATAACTGACCTTAAATTGGTTAAACTGTGCAGGAAGAGACAACAAAACCAGATGCACTAATAACTCGTCACAAAGATCGAGTTTAAGTGCCTTAAGCTTTGAAGCAATATGAGACATTTCCATAATGTACTCCCTGATATTTCCTTTGCCCTTATACTTCATTGAAATCAAGCGAGCTAAAAGCGTGCTTGTTTCTACCTTATCGTTTTTCGCAAAACGCTTCTCAATTTCGGCAAGGAAATCTTTAGCCTTAGTAATCCCTTCGGATTCTATGCCCCTGAAGGCTTCCGGAACGCCGCGCTTAATGATCATAAGACTCATGCGATTTGAACGCTCCCACTTCTCATGCTCCTTCTTTGCATCAGGAGTGCTATCCGCATTGAGAGGTTGGGGTTGTTCAGTTCTTAATGCATAGTCAAGATCCATGCAGCCAAGAACAATTAATATGTTCTCTTTCCAAACCTTGAAGTTTGTCCCATTTAGCATGGGAATTGAGTTGATGTTAGCAGAAATTGTTGCAGCAGATGCATTAGCTGAAATAAAACAAAAATGCTCACATCAATAACCATAATCAATAAAATTCAAATAATGACAATCCCCATCCAAGATACCGGCACAACATTAATATCAAGTCTTTGGACAGTAATATTAACTTGTAAGTGATACCTTGTTGCAATGATCAAACATTGACAATAACTCATGTCAAATAATGAAACTATCTTTGGATCGATTCATTATTCACATGTAAACCTTATAATTGTCACACGCTTATCATCGCAGATGTGTATACAGTCTAAATAAATATTAACCTTCCTTTGGGCCGATTAAATATTTACACGAAAGCATACACACAAACATCTCACATTCCTCATGAACAATCTACACAAGAGAGGTTACTTTGGCAACTTCTTGTTTCAATTAATCAATTGGAGTGAGAGACAACCTTAATACCTTAGTGTCATAATATTTGAATTAAATAATTGATTAAAAACCAAATTAGATTTAAATTAAAAAGTTTTAATTTAAATCAACTGAATTTCCAAAAACTTAATTGGGGTCTCACAGCTTAATTAGGGCCCATAACTTAATTGAATAAATTAAGTATACCAAAGTGGACCCATGAAAAGCCGAGGCTTAACCATAATGAACACGAAGTTCCCTTAACTTCGAACGCGAGGTTCGACTGTATTGAGTACGAGACTCACTTAAGCACGAACGCGAGGTTCGTCTGAAAATGAACGAACGCGAGGTTCGTTTGATAAAAGAACGCGAGGTTCAACTTGGGAACGAACGCGAGGTTCGTTTAAAAAATGAACGCGAGGTTCGACTGAAGTACGAACGCGAGGTTCGTCTGAAGTACGAACGCGAGGTTCGTCTGAAGTTCGAACGCGAGGCTCGACTGAAGCACGAACGCGAGGTTCGTCTGAAGTACGAACGCGAGGTTCGTCTGAAGTACGAACGCGAGGTTCGTCTGAAGTACGAACGCGAGGTTCGTCTGAAGTACGAACGCGAGGTTCGTCTGAAGTACGAACGCGAGGTTCGTCTGAAGTACGAACGCGAGGTTCGTCTGAAGTACGAACGCGAGGTTCGTCTGAAGAACGAACGCGAGGTTCGTTAAAAAAATTGAGCTTGACGCTCACCTGAGTTGAACGCGAGGTTCACCTTAGAACGAACGCGAGGTTCGTTAAAATTGAGCTTGACGCTCACCTGAGTTGAACGCGAGGTTCACCTTAGAACGAACGCGAGGTTCGTTGAGCGCGAAGCTCGGTTAAAATTGAACGAACGCGAGGTTCGTTTGAGGTAACCACCTCCTTAATTTTCGCCATGAACCCTTAGGGTTTCAAATTGAAACCGCCGCCGACAAACCCAAAAAACCTTTGATTTTTATTTTCAAAACAGATCCAGAATTGGAAAAAATTGAAGGAAAAATCAAAGAAAAATCCAAAAAATTCCCAAAAGTTACTGTTCACCCGAAAAAAATACTTTACTGTTCATCCGAAAAAAAAATTCGTTACTGTTCATCCGAGAACATTACTGTTCATCCGAACCCAAAAATTGAATCTTTAACCAGAGATTTAAGATCAAAAACCCAATAAAACTTAAATCCCTAAGAATTAATCAAGGTGGCTCTGATACCACTTGTTAGATCTACATCATAAAACTTGAGATCTAAAACCATATAGCCATGATTAATTCAAAGAGATTAACAAAATCAAAAGAGCGGAAGCTTATACCTGAATCCATGGATGAACCTTGAGATGGGTTTTGGATCTTCTAACCTTAGGGTTTCTCTAAATCCGAATTTCTCTAGCTAGATGGGGGTGTAGAGAATTAGAGAATGTAATATATATATATATATACATTAATCTAAATATTTTATTAAAATTTGATTTAAAATTCTTTGAGTCTCTCAAAATTAGTATATAGACCTTAAATTAAAAATATAAGTGGGTTGAAAATATAACATCATATGAGTAATAACACAATTATAATCGGTCAAAATATAAACAAACATTTAATAAACAAACGAATCGAATATACATCTAGTTAAATTCTATTATTAATGAACTTGAATACTAAATATTATTTAGTCAGTGTTAAATGAACCGCTGAATCGAATATGATTGAATAGTTACTCAAATAATTAACGAACTATTTGTTAATTATTTAGTTCATTTCCATCCCTACCTGTCGGGAGACAACATAGATCTAATCTCCATTGTGAGCGCCTAGTTGAGGTATGACAATTCAGCATACAATTTACATTTCAAGTCTTTAGATTACGATACTTTCATCTGTATTTCACTGATTTGAACATTAAAAAGGTTCTAACCGAAACACTTTTAAGTCTTCACTGATTTGAACAACTCTTCCCATGTGGCAACATATTTATTTTATAGTTAGACTAAATATCATAAAACCTCCCTTAACTTTCGATGATTATCAGAAAACCCTTCTTAACTTTGAAAATGTCAGAAAACCCACCTTAAATTTAGAGCTTATCGAAAAATCTCCCTTTACTTTTAGGAAGATTTTCCCATTAAAATCTCAAAGTTAAAAAAGATTTTTTTTCCTGATAAAATATGAAAGCTAGAAGGAAGTTTTGTGATAATCCTGATACTTAAGGACGTTTTCCGATAGACTAAATACGCATATTGGTATTTTAATTCCACCACATTTACCAAGAAGGTATTTTAATTAGCAAACCTGCTTTAAGGCATTTTAATTGATTCAACTTACCAACAAGATCATTTTTCTCGTCGGCGACCAGTTTTCTAGCGAGAGCTCATCACGTGCGTGACACGTGATGACTTAAACTGTTTTTTAGCTGCTGATATAGAAGGTGATTTTCCACTGACCCTGCTTGCTTTAGAACGAGAGCTTGAACTTGATGATGACGACATAATATCTTCTCTTCCACGCTCAATCTCAGCTTGAATGCCCCAATTTGATAAACCCTAGTTTCCAATCTCACCCAATCTCAGCTTGAATCCCCTCTGTTATTCTCCCAACTGTTTTATCCATGTCAGAAAATCCGTGCCACATCAGCAGCTAAAAAACAGTTTAAGTCATCACGTACCACGCACGTGACGAGCTCTCGTCGGAAACTGGTCGCCGACGAGAAAAATGACCTTGTTGGTAAGTTGAATCAATTAAAATACCTTAAAACAAATTTGCCTAATTAAAATACATTCTTGATAAATGATGTAGAATTAAAATACCAATATAAATATTTAGCCTTTTCTGATATTCAGCCTTATAGCAATATTGAAGCAGTGCCTGCACGATAATAGTCCAACAAACGAGATCAAAACAAAACCCACCGCTAGCCGGTCCTAAAGAGAATAGTATAAAATTCATTAAATTATCTACAAGTCCCAAAAGATAAGCAATTCATTAGTTACCATCCTTAAAAGAAAAAACCCCACAAACTTAAATTACAATCCCAGAAATCAAAACCCCTATATATCTCCCTTCAAAGCCTTCACAAAACTCCCCCACACAATCTCCAATGGCCATTCTTATGTGTCTCCTTTTCCTTTCCTTAACGGGTCCAAATCCGAAACCCGCATCCGCAATGCCTCCGGCTTCTCCAATCAACTGCAACCAATCAGTTTGTGTCCTCTCGAATTCTTATGGAGCTTTTAACGACCGAAAACAGTGTTCAGTCCCGACGGCGGTTTTGTACCCGACAACTGAAGAAGAGATCCGATCCGCGGTGGCCGAGGCTAATAAGAACAACCTCAAAGTCAAGGTTGTTAGCGGGTTCTCGCATACGATACCGAAATTAGCGTGCCCGGATCCGACCCGTTCCGTCTTGATCAGCACCGCGAAGTACAATACAGGTTAGGACTCGAAACTAATTGGATCGAATATGGAGCTACTCATGATATTTGTGTCTGTTTAACATTTAAGAATCCTAATCCAAATTCTAATTTGTTCTCCGAATTTCTTTGGATTGTGAATTTGAATGTGAGCACCCCTCTTCGAATTTTTGTCGAATGTGAACTATAATTATTGCGTTTAAATTGTGTAACTTTATGAATATGATATTGTTTGATTAGCATATGAATTTAAGAGCATTTGAATTCACACGTAGAGATTTAAATGTTTTGTTTTAAAGATTGATTTGTGAATACTCCTAATAAATCTCTCAAACTAGGAGTAGGAGTAAATCTACAATAAAAAACACATAAATGACATGACTAATAAAGAAATATATTTTAAACGTACATTTTGATAATCAAATGAATCAAATACATCTATCCTCATATCTGATCTCTTTTGTACGGTCTTTCGAGTTTGAACGATACGGAGAGACAAATAAATGCCGAACTATTTGATAATTATTCCATCAACATTCAGGAGTCAAGGTCGATACCGTGACGCGAACCGTAACGGTCGATTCCGGAGTCGGGCTGAGGGATTTGATCAATGCAGTGGAGGCCCATGGGCTGAGTTTAGTTGCGAGCCCATATTGGGAAGGAGTGAGCATTGGTGGGCTGATCTCTACGGGCTCCCATGGGAGCTCATGGTGGGGGAGAGGAGGTGCGGTGCATGATCATGTTGTGGGTGTTAGGATTGTTGTTGCGGCTAGAAAAAATGAAGGGTTTGCTAAAGTTCTGGACGTTGATGAGAGCAAGGGTTCTTTGTTTGATGCTGTTAGGGTTTCTCTCGGGCTTTTGGGCGTCATCTCCAAGGTTAGTTTCTTTTTCAGATTAACAGTTGGTGTTATGATTCATGAGAATATAAATCTTGTCAGAACGCTCTCAATACCTACAAACAGAAACGTTGTGAATCCCAAAACTACCTTCACCTTTCCGTTGAATGCCTCCTACAATACTAACCGTTCGAGAATGTTCTGATAAAATTGGTACCCGTGAATCTGAGAAAACAACAACATTGCTTGAGAAAAGATGCATATGAAATTAAATTCAAAATAAGCTATTTTAGAACACAACACGAAGTAACTCTGTCCTTATTTGCCATTCACCAACGCGTGAATGCCAATCATAACGACAAGACGGCCTAGCCGCTTTTCTTTTATATAATGATGATGATAATGATATCATCATCATGGATCTCTTGTCCGAACCTGCCGTAAAATTTAGAGCAGAGAGAAGTTGAGTGCAGCGTACGCGGAGACAGCGCGAAGGTGTGAACCGTGCGTTTGAAACCAATGCTTTCGCCGCGCACTACAATTTCCTTTTTGTTTTCTAGTTTATTATTTTATTTGAACTCAGAACCCGAAGTTTCAAACTAGACAGACGATCGAGCGTATAAAATGATAAATTGGCGGTTTAAATTAAAAACTCCAGTTGCTGCGATTCTCACTCGTGATTAGCCTTAGCACAATCATAATTTAGGATTTTAAATGGTAAAACTTAACAGAAGTTATTTGATGAAGAACTTATACCTTCTAAACTCCAAAAGTTATATTGGTTTAGATGTTTCATGACTACATTTTATAATTTATATTTACTTCTGCACTAGTTGAACCGGAAAAGACGGCTATCTAATCGAGGGTAGAGAAGTAATATCTACTCAGCATTCAGAAGTATAAGTGCTAATAAAATAGTTAGAAGATATATAACAGGGGACTTGTGCAATAAATCCTATACTCAACCAGCCAGTGCTCATCATCTATGGATGAAAAATCGCAGGTAACACTCTCACTGGAGCCAGCATTCAAGAGAAGCATAACTTACTCATTCAGAGATGACAATTCCTTCCAAGATGAGTTCGCAGATTTTGCTAAAAAGCACGAGTTCGCTGATATTACCTGGTACCCATCTCAGCACAAAGCCGTGTACAGATTGGATGACCGCGTCCCTTTGAACGCTTCTGGCGATGGCGTAAATGACTTCCTTGGGTTTCAGTCCACTCCTATCCTGGCTACCACTGCACTTAGGGCTACAGGTACTCTCTCATAAAATTTTATGACCTTTTGCTAATATGTTAATTATGAACATGACATAGACTCATCATAATAGAGAAGGCCCCCAGTGGGAGATTTATTCCGTAGAGAATTACGAATATGGATACAAATACATATCTGTCAAAATCGGACGCAGATACAGATTAGACGGGATAAAATAGTACATATCCAATATTAGATGAGATAAACAAATAAAACTCAGAAAGTATACAGACTCAGAAAGTATATTTTTGACACACGGTAAAGTGGAAAACCTAGAATTGGAACTTCGTTTAATTTGAAACCAATAAAAAATATCAATCATATGACTGGTACATATACCCGAAAACAGGTATTTTGAGTATTCAATCCACTCGAAAAAGAAAATGATATAGTTACCTATATCTGACTCCTGACATGAAGATTTAATATTTGTATTCATGTCCTATCAGACATGGATGTTGATATACCTCTGGATATCCATATTCGATCACAACCCTAGACATCAAATATGTAATTTCGTTATGTTCACAAACAACTTATGTCAGTATTTTTTTTTAATTTTTTCATTGCAGAAACAAGATTCCAGAAAACAAAGAATGTGAACGGGCAATGCATACTCGCTTCCACAGAACTCGGATACAAGAAGCTAGTAGCCAACGGCCTAAAGAACAACTTACTACTATTCACAGGCTACCCAGTTGTAGGTTCTCAAGCCAAGATGCAAACCTCAGGCTCCTGTCTACACTCACCCCCATCAGACCCCTTAACCTCCTGTGCATGGGATCCAAGAACCAAAGGCCTCTTCTTCTACGAATCCACCGCCATCTTCTTCCCTCCAAACTTCAAAAACTTCATCCTCGACGTCAAGAAGCTCCGAGACCTCAATCCGAACAAGTTCTGTGGAGTCGATTCCTACAATGGTCTAATGATACGCTTCATAAAAGGGTCCAGTGCTTATCTTGGCCAGACAGAAGACTCTGTCGTGGTTGATTTTAATTATTACAGAGCGGATGAGGCATTGTTGCCCAGACTGAGTCAGGACGTGTGGGAGGAAGTGGAGCAGATGGCATTCTTTAAATATAAAGCGAGGCCACATTGGGGGAAGAATAGGAAGCTTGCGTTTTCAGGGGTGAAGGAGAAGTACATGAAGATGAGTAGGTTTGTGGAGGTGAAGGAGATGTGGGATCCGAAGGGGATGTTTTCCAGTTCTTGGTCGGATGAGATAGTTTTTGGAGGCGGAGGGAGCAGGGGCGATGGATGTGCAATGGATGGAGAGTGTGTTTGTTCGGAGGATAGGCATTGTAGGCCAAGTGAAGGGTATTTGTGTAGGCCGGGATTAGTTTATGAGGATGCAAGGGTGTGTAGGTTTTCTAGTTCTTCCTAAGAGATGAAGATCAATTTGGATGACACTTGAATTTCTATTTGTCAATAAATTGTTAAATAGTCAAGAGAAATTCAATTGATCTGCGTTTGTGTTCCTTTAACAGGTAATTTTGGGCAATAAGACGGTGGCTGTGGCCCCAGAATGGTACGCATGTGATATAGGCTCTTTATAAGGTTCTCCTGTTGCCATGATGAGGTGTACTATTTGCAAATTTGTTAGTCCAATGTGATTTTAGATATATTCATATCCATCAACCCCTATCTCTCTACATGGTGAAAAAAGTACATGCATAAATATGAATATTTGGAAATGATCTTTCTTCTGGGTTCTGACTAAATGAATGTCCAATACCATAAGTATGTCAGCAATATTTACCCCTTCATCACAATTCAATTCATCTCAAGTTCATAAATTCATAACAGTAACCCTTTGAAAAGGGCTTCAATAGTCCCTAGAGTCACTCATTTCTAATCCATTGCAGAGCTTCCCATTCAGAGGTTGCATTGAAGTCTTATATATGTAACATACCTAGGATAAAACTACAGAAAGGGTGTCTACAAAGGAGGGGAAAAGGTCTGGCAAAATTTGGTTGTCTGCTATTTAAAATATTAAACTATATGTCATTGAGTTGCAGACTAGGAAGAAAAAAATAAAACAAGGTTAACGCAAGAACAATAATGGCGAAATGATGACATAAATTCCTAAGAAAAATCTTCAAAAGCTGTCAAAAAATTAAAAACAAAAGGAATAATCAGTCAAACATCATTTACATGATAATAGTGAACGCCAAAAAATCTAATCATCAAGCGCATGTACAACGATAATAATTCCTGTTACCTAGAATAATGCAATGAAGTAAGAGCAAACCACAAACTCTCAGGCAATCATTTTCAGAAAAAAAATCTAGACGACAAATTGTAGAAGTTAACAGGCAGACAAGCAAAAAGCAAATATGCAAATAATTAAGTCAGCAATCCTGGAAAATGATAGGAGATTGAGGATGCAATAAGTTGGCTATGCCAGTGTGAAGTGTATAGAATAAACATTTCATAAACATCTAAACAAAGAAATCAACTTGTGCACTGCATAGCATAAAACTTATAACAGAGGCAAACCAAAACTTGATGTGCCAATAAGGAAAAAACAAGACCATTTTGCACATATGGATCTAGTGATATCATGGACATTAAGTATGTACACAGTTTGAAGTTGACAAGGTATGAAAACAACTAACCATGTTAACAAGTCAAATAGATTTCTAGACCTCATGTGCTGCATACAAGGAAAACAAAATTAAAGATGCATTCAAATGCATTCTAGTTTTATGAAGATATTTTAAGATATACCATCTGTGTGTACCCATTGAATACTGATGTCTCAAACTTTGTGAGGCCTAGCCTCTGAAATAGTCCATACCTTCCATCTTCAATAATGGGATCAGGTGCACGTGCAGGGTCGTATCTTGTTTGGTGTGTGAGAGAGGGACCAGCCACTGGTGGGAGCTCCCAATATACATCTAATACCGATTCCACAAACCTGCTGTTTTGAAAATGTTCCGAATATGAGATTGGTTTATTGCTGTGGTTAAAATCATCTCGCATGTATCCTCGAACACCCCACCATGATTCCCCTTTACCGCATAGGTCTTCTATATCCACAGCTTTTTCGTAGAACTTTTCCCTTTTCATCCTTATTCTAGCTTCATCACTGTCTCTGAAGCAGCTGTGACCACCACCTGAAATAAGGAAACAGATGTAAAATTTGAGCGCTTCAGAGTTCAGAAAATAGTTTAGGAAAGTAAATGCAACAGGATAAAAGGATTGGAAGCAAGGTTAGGAAACTTGGTTTTGGACTCTGTTTCAAACATTCATTGTATGACAGGTTTCTATATGTTCCACTAGTTTTAAAAGGGAGAATTTTTAAAAAAAGACCATTTTAAAACGTAATTAGTAAAATCGACCGTTTTCATAAATAATGAGCAAAATTGACCACGTCATCAAGGCTGGCCAAAAAAAGGTCGATTAAAAAAATCATCTTTAAAATACACGAGACTACTAGTCCCATGTAATTAGCAATTGCTAATTATGAAAGTGATTAAGCTCAGAATATACACGGGACTATTAGTCCTGTGTATTCATTCAAAACCCCCTTTTTTTATCAGCCACCATCGCCCAAACCCTCTTCCAAATCTCCGGTATCGAATCCTCCTCTTGATGATTCGTCTCCGATTACTTCAAGAGGACCATCAAGGCTCCCGATGTCTACAACGCGATCCACGATGGAATCGATCAGGTCCATCAGTGGAGGAATCATCTCGAGATTGTTCTCGCCACTCTTGATCCCAAGTAGAGGTCGATCGGCGAGGGCCAGATCCGACGAGCGAAGAAAGTGCTTACGGATCTCACCCTCTTGATGCTCAATGACAAAAAATGGGGATCCGTTATTGGTCATCGAAACCGATCCTTTGGTCGAACTAAGGATCATAATCATCATCGTCGTCGGAGCGGGAGCGGAGGTGGCCATTTTCGGTCACTTTCGTGGATCATTTCTCCCTCATGGTCGGCGGCGAAGCAGCTGCAAGCGATCGGAGCGAATCTTAGCACTCCGAGGAACAATGATATCGCTGGTACCAATGGCCTTGTGGTTCTGATCTATACGATGATGATGATGATTACGATTATGATTAAGGTCGAGGGTGAGGGCGGCCTCAAAGGCGGTGGTCGAGGGAGCCTCGAGGGCGGTGGTTGAGGAATCGAATGAGAAAGAGAGAGATGAAGAATAAGGTCAGATGAGAGAGCGCAAGGTTGAAAATTTTAATTAATGAGACTAATTACACGGGACTAGTAGTCCCATGTATTTTAAAGATGATTTTTTTTTAAATCGACCACTTTTGGCCAGTCTTGATGTCGTGGCCAAAAAGAGGTTGATTTTGCACATTATTTAGGAAAATGGTTGATTTTGCTAATTATATTTTTAAAATGGTCTTTTTTTTAAATTCTCCTTTTAAAAGTTCTGTTTCAGTTTTTGTGTTTTTCTTCCAGTGTACATAGACATATTTCATGTAGGCCAAGTGTCCAAAAGTATATGGCCATCTTTGCTTCTTCACACAAAGATATGTTTGTAAGAAGCAGTACAACATAAAAACACAAAGATGAGCGTTATCAGAAGATAGTTTTCCTCTTGAAATACTTTGCTAAGAATGTTATGAAAGAGGATGATTGTTCATGGAGTACAGTCAATATCATCATTGCCATCTTTATTTTCATTGTTGCCATTATCCTATTGATACTTTTCTCACCAAATGAGCTTTAGTAGGGAGCCAAAGCTAAGTTGAAAATAGCCCAGACAAGACTGACTAGTTTACGAGAGTTGTTTAACTAACCCTTGATGTTGTGACAAATTTATGGCTGGTGGAACTATAAGTAAGATAAAGCTTCACCATAAAGCAAGGTTTTAAATATCGGTTATCGGGGATTTATCGGACGGTCAAAATCCTTATCGGATACTGAAAATCGGGGATATATCGGGGATAAGTAGGATTTATCGGAGATATACTATATGGTGTATATATAATATAATAACCAAAAAATGTAATCTAACCATACTTAATGAAATACATACCAAGTATAAATAATCATGTTTAGAATCACTAACCAATTGCAGAAAGCAAGTCGGGTCGGGTTTAACAACTCACTAAATAACTGCCCATTACCCGAAAATTGAACTCAAAATTTGGCCCGATAAATTAATAAATATATCCTAGCAAGTATGATATGCTACAAGATATGTGCAAGGATATACAATATAAACAAGTGTAAACAATATGATCATGCAATAATGACGATATAACAATATGCAAGAATAAATGCGTCAATGCCAAACCCAAACACAAGGAAATGATCACAGAGTTCGGACCAAGGTTTTAAATATCGGTTATCGGGGATTTATCGGACGGTCAAAATCCTTATCGGATAGCGAAAATCGGGGATATATCGGGGATAAGTAGGATTTATCGGAGATATACTATATAGTGTATATATAATATAATAACCAAAAAATGTAATCTAACCATACTTAATGAAATATAAACATACCAAAGTATAAATAATCATGTTTAGAATCACTAACCAATTGTAGAAAGTAAGTCGGGTCGGGTTTAACAACTCACTAAATAACTGCCCATTACCTGAAAATTGAACTCAAAATTTGGCCCGATAAAGCCGATATTTAGAGCCTCCCTTATCGGCCAATAAGTACCTTTATCGCCGATAACTCACCGATAAATCCCAAAAAACGATAACCGATTAAAATTCCTACTTATCCTAGCGGAAAGCTCCCAAATCTGATAACTCGGCGATAATATCGGATTATCGGCCGATATTTAAAACCAAGGTTCGGACCTTCCGTCCTACGTCTCCGCTCCCCACTCTTGGGGAGAATCCACTACATAACCCGGTTTGGAAGCCGGAACTTCTCTACACACTAGGTTTTCTAGCTAACCGAAAACTCTACACACTCGGTTATCAAGTCAACCGATAACTCTCATAAATCCTTACAAAGTACATACACAATGTCACGCCCCGAAACTGCAGCGGAATATCATAAAATACGGGGTACGCGACAGCAGCGACCTGTGCACATTAAAATTCCTACTTATCCTAGCGGAAAGCTCCCAAATCTGATAACTCGGCGATAATATCGGATTATCGACCGATATTTAAAACCATGCCATAAAGAGCATGAACCTATTTGGGAATCCAGGAAAGTCTACCTGAACAATTATACAGTTGATGTTAGCATAACAAGGAGCAAATCCATCATATCCATTACTAAAATGCAGTGTGTACTGAGGAAATGATAAACTTGTATGGGATAAATTAGTGTGAAAGTTTAGACATAAATAACGATATAAAGAGGGATGAGTACTCCAAATCAAATCAAGATCCCAATAAGCCCAACTCTTGGTGATGGAATTTAAAAGGATACTCGTTGTTTGAGCTTGAGTGAAGTACAAAAAATTAAGAAAAAGTAAATAAGGACCTCTCTTACAAATGATGAGTACTGTATTGCTAAAGATCTGATTAATAACAAAAACCTTCTTTAAAAGGTGTGTTTGACAGCTCCCCACTAACCTGCTTAAGACCTTAACCCGGTTATTGTTATCCAGGTTTTTTTTATCTCTTTTAACTCAGTTAAGTGCCTAAATTTGAAAGAACTAAGAAAACATGGTTTGGACTTGACCCAACTTAGCCAAACAAAATTTAACTCTTTATCCAGGTTAGCTCCACTAACCTGGATAGTGGGAGGCATTTCCAAACACCCCCTAAGGGTGCAATCTTATCATGTCCCTCATTCAAACCTTATGGATGTCACAAGGGGAAAGAACATTGACCCCAGAGTTTTGAGAAAATATCATGACAGTAACTCGATATGTAATTAAGATTTTTTTTAATGAATTGCAACTGCATGTTATACCATCAAATAGTTTAACAGTGAAATTCACACACATAGTAGCAAGAAGGCCAATTTAGAGTTAGGTCCTATGTGCCAAAGAAGAATGATTAAGGAGCCCAAAATTTAGCATTTCCATGGCCATAATAATTCAGAAGCATCGACTTCTAACAACGAGGTTCAAAGCCGTTAAACACTCATCATGGAATTTATATTCAATATACAATTGGTGTGATGGCTAATCTGCATTAGCCATGAAGCTGGATAAGCTAGGGATCATCCAGGATGACTAGTAAGTCACTTGAATGCAAGAATGCATGATATTGAGCAGCTGAAGAAAAATAGAAGTAGAGAGATACTTTAAAGCTCAAGGACAAAATTCAGGACAGACCTCTAATGTAAAATTGATCGCAAATCTGCCTCAAAGAATAATGATCTCCAGTACCAGTGTCATAGTTGTCCTCAAAAATGAGATGTTGGAACCCAGCTTTTAATGCTTGTTTCAATCTGTCAAGAATGATGAAGAAATACAAAATGTAGCAAATACAGTAGAATTGTATAAGAAAAGCTTGTTTTTCATCTTCATAAGCCATGCCCTTAAATAGAGCAATGATATATGCCATCACACTGAAAGTTGATAAACAGAAAACTTTCAAAATGAAAATTATTAACAAGAGCTAATTAAACAAATGGATCACAATGATGAAACAGTAATCACATAAAGATTTCCAAAATATAATCATATGAGAATAAATATCTGTTGAAGGTTGAATCGTGATGCACCCTTATATTGCACCTCATCACTCATCACACAAATAGGGATAAACAAGCTACTGATAAGCATACCTCTTCAATTCATTCTGGTGATCATCAAAGAATATAACCACCCTACTGAGATCAGAAATCCCATGTTTCTTCAAAACACTTTTCCAATCCATGCTCCCAAAGTCCACAAAATCCTTGCCAGCAAAGTAAGTGCAGTTCCCATCAACATAGGCAGGTCCCTTCTTAAGATACTTCTCTGGATGGCGGGGTGTGATCGATATGATCCTCGTCTCTGGCATGGCCTGCCTCAGGACCCAAGTAGAATGCCCCTTGAAAGCCCCACTCTCTATCATCAACTCCGGTTTGAGCCATCGCATCATGAACCACAGACCAAAACTGTGATCAAAACCCATCCCATACATATTGTTCTTTATAGGACGGGTCTCATAGATTGGAACAAACTCTTCCAAGCCTTTAAGCAAATCCTTTGACGTCCACTCGACTGTCTTTCCGTGTTTCGATCTGCCTTTTGCCAAAGAAAAAGAATTAAAAGAAGTCGGAAAGCACGAGACAGTAATTAAATTATTCCCAAAACAAAATATCAAAACGTCCAAGATAATAATCCCCAAGGATTTCATCATTTGTCGAGAACCTTGACTTTGTGCAAAAGATGAAATACGAGAATGATGGTCAAGTCATGATCACCACAACCTAAGCTACTGCCTGTAAAAATGAGGTTGGCTCTGGAGAGTAATCTTAGTGTAGAAAATTCTATTGAATGATTCATCAGAAACTAAATCAAAAGATGTCAACCTTAACTCTATTAGCATTTTACCTATTCCTAGGGAGGCAACTATCAAAAGAAGTAGGAAGGTGCTACAATTAACAGTTTAGCACTAACCTTAAGCCAACCAACAGAAAATTTGCAACAATTGCATGAATTCGGAAATTAAATAATATTCAATATCTTCAAGTTCAATCCAGTACCAGCTCAAGATCTCGCTATTTTTCATCATGAATAGTAACTAGTAATTAGATAAGGCAGTCCACCTTCTCATAATAATAATAATAATAATAACAAAAAAGCTTGGAGTACAGTTAACACTAATCTTAAGTCAAGTTAGCCAACTAGGTAAAATTTGTAGCATTTCACTGAATTCTCCAGCCCTAATTTTGTTAATTGGAACTCCATTAATCCAGCTAAGCACTAAACAAACCACGCTGCCAAACTGAAAACATATTCTTAAGATTAAGAACTTAAATCAAGAACACAAAACTAAATCTAGCAGCAGCAATGACCTCAAAATCTCATCAGATCTGGAACATAACGCAAAGAACTCTAAACTCTAGGGTTTCGAAATCATACACCACGGCACGCCGAGCGATCCGAAATCCGAAGCGAGTCCATCGAGATCCCTCCTCAAGAAGCTCGTCCGATGGAGGGGCTCGTAAGGCGAAACGCAGAGATCGGGTCGAGATCGAGAGAAGAGGACGGAAACGAGCACGAGGATGACGAAGAGGAGGGAGGAGACGACGAGGCAGTGGCCGGAGCGGGGCCCCCCGCGCCGCCTGCCCTCCTCCTCCCTCTGCCGGTGACGCTTTGAATGATCTGACGGCGACGGAGGAGTGCTTTCCTCGTCTTTGGATTCGTCGTCCGCCGCCACCGCCGCCCCCTCCGCCATGCGTCGTCGGATTGGGAGAAGCGCGGCGGGGAGCGGATAGCGTCGTCTCCGGCATTGATTAAGATTTATGTTTTTTTCTTGCTTTTTCCCCCCTTGTTTGGTTCGATGTTTTGATTTTTTCAGGGACAGTGGAGTAAAGGATATCGAACTGAGTTGGCGCAGGATGCGAGGGATCGAATTGAACTGTGGTTAACGAACCGGGTGGCTGGCGTAGGGAAAAGTTCAAGCCGGGTTGCCAGAGCAACGAAAGCTTAGCGCTGTAATCAAGCCCATGTGTAGTGATTTGAGGGCCCAAGGCCCAACTTGCTCTCCTTTATTTCAGTTCTGGGGCTAAAAGGCCAATTTGGTACCTGTATACTCAATCTTGGCCCTCATACATTTGTTTGTGATCGATATAGTCCTCTTACCTCTAGTTAAGGGCCTGTTTGTTTGTACGGAAGTAATTGTGAAGTAGCTGAAGTAAAAGAAGTAGAGATTATTTCTGCTACTTCCAAGCAAAAAAGTGTGTTTGGTTTTCTAAAAAACTTACTTCTAATACTTTCCTAAATGCTTATGTGACGCCTATGTATCATCCTTACTTCCAACATATTTTTCCAATCCTCAATACTCAGAAGTAGCTCGGAAGTAGTTGAAATGCATATTAATTATGACATAAATACTTTTTTTATTAATTTTTCCTTTATTAGTTACTTCTAACAACTTTTTATTGATAAAATTACTTCCTAATAATATTTCTAAATGTTATCCAAACAAAAAAAGAAAAATGAAGAGGAAGAAGTTCTACTTCCATTAATTCTAAAAATATATGAAACAAATAAAAAATGCTATTTCCACTACTTCCTACTTCATAGCTTTGAAAGTTACTTCTATAACCTACTTCTTACTTCTAATACTTCCATTATCTAAACGGGCCCTAAATGTAAATTTAGTCTTTTTTTTTTAACATTCGTTAAATATTTAGTGTTAACTTTTTATTTACACCCATAGTGCCCTCGATGTCATAAATAATGAACCCTATGCTTTTGAATTTTTATTCTATTAACTTTTTAGAGAAACGGATGGGATCATACAATCCCAGCCAAGTTCTTCCATTGAGCTAAAAATAGTTACTGTAGAAAAACAAAAACAAAAGACCACTATATAAACTTGGGAAAATGATAGGCGCACACCCTCAACCACAACCTCAACCACACCCCCCCCCCCCCCCCCCCCCCCCCTCTCTCATTTGCTACAGTGCACCGGGCCCCACATGGGACTTTAAATTTTAAAGTCCCATGTGGGACCCGGTGTACTATAGCAAATGAGAAAGGGGGGTATGGTTGAGGTTGTGGTCGGGGATGTGCCCCTAGCGCCACCCATAAACTTGAAACTTTTATACTGTCCTTCCCTCCACATCAATAGGGGCTTCACTATTATTGTTTCCAATTTCTTATCCTAATAACAACAGTTTGTTCAAGGTATTATTATGAGGTGACCTATAAACATTAGGAAGGTTGGATTTGCTGTTATATTCTCCAATCTAGGAGCAAGAATATACTCATACTAAGGCTGAAAATTTTATTGCATGTCACTTCTAGAACAAACAAGGTTCTAAGATGAGATTAATTAGTTCAGGACTAGCATTCAAGTATATACATAAAAGTGGTTCAATCAGTTTTCTAGGATCATCTTTTTATTTAATCAGTTTTCTAGGATCATCTTATTTAACCAGTTGTGTAAGGTCATTTTTTAGACCTAATCAGGTTTTTTTTGATATTTTAATTAAATCAGCCTTTTAATTAGAGAGAAAGAAAAACTAACGATTGATTTATTTTTGGGTAATATGTCCTTTCATATTTAATTTAACAGAACATTTAACGGATGTTTAAAAAAAAGACTAAATTTATATTTAATAAGAGGTACAAGGGCTAAATTGAGTAAAAATAAAGTATGTGAACCAACTTGAGTATGAAGCACCGGTACAGGGACTAAATTGAACTTTTAGCCCAAAAAAAAACACCCTTCATTTTTACAAAATCACTCTCATCAGGAAAGAAAAAGGGGTTTAAAAAAACATTTCAATAATTTAAAATTGTACATTAAACGGTAATGTACATTAAACACTAATCTAAAATTGGTTTCCTTATTGGCTTGCACGGAGGAATAGAAGAAATCATAAGGTTTTGGGAGTTGGAAGGGAGAAAACATAAAAAAAGAAATTGATTATTACATTAAAGTGGAAAAATCTTATCTTTTTATCGATGATCTAAAATTGCTCCTAAATGCATATGTTGTTGTTGTGGGGTAATCGGTCCCAAACTAGAGTTAATGAGCCTTATTCATTGGTTAGAGATCAATTTTAACCGAAAAGCTTAAGCTATTAGGTACCTCTCAACATATGTTTTATCTAGATGCCTAGAGAATCAACTCAGTAAAGCAAATAATTATTTAATAATCATAAATAAATAGGCTTATTAAAAAAGTACTATAGATCAAGCTGACCTTTTTGTTTCTTTGTTTGGGGGGGGGGGTTAGGGCTAGGAGCG